TTCAATTATTTCAAAACATTAGCTTTAATTATGAAAATAAAAATTTGATTAGATTTTTGTCAATTATGTGATTAAGCTTTATTCAAATAATTAAAACTTTCTCACCTCCTAATCTTCTACCAACCCCCCTCCATCTGATCACTGCTCCACTTAGGTTGAGGGTGAGCATGATTATCCGCGTTTCGACTATTGATTTTCGATCAAGTAAGGTTATAAGAAAGATAAAATTGTGAGTTGTTCTTAAGTTTTCCAAAAAAGTGACTAATCATACATTTAATGTCCTTTACTAAATATTGCATTTATTATTATTTTAGTATTACATTAATTGTAGTTAAAAAACAATAAATTATTCAACCATCATTTCTAGCATAACTGCCGTATATACCTTTAAAAAAAGCCGCATACACCACTACCGCCATCTAGTGACTCCACCCCAAACACAATTCAGTGACTTCATTGGCTCAGGTCAAGTGACTACTCCTGCATCTATTGAACCCATCACCGCTCATCACCGCCTTAAGCGTAGTTTAGTGACTCCGCCACAAGCGTAGCCCAGTGACTCTACATCCCCTAATAGTGACTATGAAGACCTAGTGACTTCACCCCTCAACCGGTTACTCTACAACCCTATAGTGACCGTTGGCTAGTTTACGATGTCTAGGAACAACCGACCGCCAATTATCTGCTAAGACCACAACCTCTAGTGTCCCGCTTAGACAACGTCCTCCAGTGACCCGCTCAGATCATGACTGCCTCAACCAGTGACCCCAACCCTCCAATGTCTCGGCCCTCTACCAATGCACAGTGACCTGCGCCACCATCCCAACACTCCCCAACACCTCCTCTACCCCACCGCCGCCCACCAATCCCACCCTAGCCCCTCCCCAACGCCACCAGAACTGCCCCATTCCCACACTACCCCCAGACCCTTCAGAACTACCCCAGCCTCGCCCTAGCCCTCAACCCTAACCCCATCCATCCCTACCCCAATTCAATCGGATTAGACCCGTCCTTGCCCCAACCCCTTACCTAGACTCACCCATCCCGATACCATGCAAACCCACCCCAATCACCTTAGATATGGAAATAATACACCCAAAATTCGATCAAGATTTTGGAGCACCGTTGCCGATTTTGAATGAGAAGGGTACGGTCGTGTAGGCATCAGATTTGCGGACAGAAGAAAGGGGAAGAAGACGAAGGGGAAGAAGACAGATTGGAGACTAGTGTGTGACAGATGTAGCAAGATGGGTGGTAGATGGGAATTAACGGCAGAGGCCAAGATTATGCGGTAGATCCTGAAAGAAAACGTAATAGGTTGGTTTAATGGGCTGAGATTTTATGAATGGTAAGCGATTAAATTGCGCGTAGTACTGATGTGATATATTTAAAGAAATTAAATGGACCATATTGAATAAATGAAGAGCAACCAATTAGTAACTAATTAGGGTCACTTTTTTGGAAAAAGGAAAAAGAGTAATACTTTTGGAATTCAAAAGTCTAAGACTAATATGTAGGCCATTTTTTCACTAAGGTTTCAATTATTAAAATTTGTTGAAATTAAATAAGAGAAAATTATGAAGTAATAAAATGTTACTCCCTCCGTCCCCTTAATATTGGTACGGAAGGGAGTGATGTGGTTTTTAAGAAAAGAAGAATTATGTGGTTGGTAATCAGATGATAAAGTGGAAGTAAAGTAAGAATGAATTAGAGCCACACAAATGTTACCAAATATGGTATGAGACAATAATAAAGGGACATCCAAAAATGAAAAAATGGGACAATTATAGGGGGACGAAGGGAGTATATATTAAGATCTGAATTACTTATTCTAACAGGTTTACTTCTAGGATAGAACCTCAGGCCTTGATTGATATGAGAGTCAAATTAACTCATAATCATAGTGTTGCCACCCTATTAAAATGATGATTATTATATAACAATTACAATGATGAACGGATAAGTTCGTATTACAACACGCATTTGATGCGTGATGAAGTCGGATTTTGATTGTTTTCCTAGCTTTAAGGTGTTGAAAGTCTCAATTTTAGCTCAAGATGTGATTATCAGGTATTGGGTCGAGTTTTGTTGCATTTGGAGTTGAATTAAAGAAGTTAGAGATCGGCATCGGCGCTTAAAGAGGCAATCGGGAAGAGTTTGGAAGCATTAGAAGAAGATTTGAGAGATTTGGAGGTCACTGGGAGATTCGCGACGAAATTCTGATGAACAAATAGCATTTGGATCGACCTTATTTGCATCTGGGAGCATTTGGAGCAAGATACAACATGAAACAGTCAAGGATAGGCCAGACACGACCGTGCCTGGGCCTAGGCACGATCGTGCCTGGCAGGAAGGCACGATCGTGCCTCCATACGAAACGCGCGCATGCTCCGCAGGCACGGTCCCAGGCACGATCATGTCTGGCGTCGTGTCTGGCCCCGATTTGTCCTATTTCAGCGCAAATTGCTTTGTTTCCTATAAATAACACCTCCATAACCCTATTTTGAGGGGGGTGGAACTTAGAGAGCAGCTTAAGGACGGATTTTGATAGCTTTTCAAACCTTGTTTTTCAAATCTTTGAGATTCTTTGTAAGTTCCTACTTTTTAATTAATGACAATTATTTATATTCTTCTCAATTCTATTGATTCTTCAATTATGAGTCAGGGGTAGTTTTAATTAGGGATTTGGGATTGATGAAGGGGTTAATTATGATGTATGGCTAGATTCTTGATGGTTTAATTGCATGAATGTCATTTAATTTGTGTTTGAACAATTTAACTGATATCTTTTGTAACCTGGAACCGCGGCTAGAATTACAATTGTTTGTAGAATAAATTAAGAGATATCTAGTTTATTCTAGGACACATTCACACACACTTAATCGTTCGCTAAGAGATTAATAGCGATTAAGGGGCCGTAAGCTCGCTCGGTTTGGCAATAATTTAGGATCCTGTCGCATGAGAGATCAGCCTGGTCCCCTAAATTATTGTACTCTACGCCGCGAGAGCGGTAAGAACTGAGTATTGATTAGCTAGGCTCAATTAAATTAATTTCATGTAATTAAGCCTGATTAGCCAGAAATCTGATTACCCCGGAATCAATCCATGTTCCCTTCGTCGTTAATTAAGAAGAACCCAAATCTTTACTTTTATTCGTTTATTTGCAATTTTAATTTTCTCAATCCACCAAATCTCGCACGACTGCATTTATTTTATTTCTTTTCTTTATCACTGCTTTTAGTTAGTCCTTAATTCCCTTTTACCGTCCCTGTGGAGACGATACTCGTACTTACACCCTATACTACGATCTATTTTAAGTGCGAGAAAACTCACATCATTAACTGATGGAAAAAATGAATAACAAAAAATTGTAAAATAATAAAGTGTTATGTTAAATGGACACCTCCTTCTATAGGTTCACCGTTTGGATGGAAATTCAGGTCCTGACAAAATTTCAATATTATTATTCATAATATGCATCATAATACTGAATAATTGTCTATTCTGTATCATTTTACCACTAATTAGTTAATAAGAAAACTTTAGAAAAATAATAATTAATAAATATCGAATTGAAGTAATAAAAATAAAATTTGTATGTGAAAGTTTATACAAAATAGAATATATGTGATTTTCAAAGTTTAATCTATCTTTTTTGTCTGGATTAAATATTTATATGATCAAATATATGGAATAAATGATGAATCTGAAGTGCCAGGTTACTAGTTGAACTCTAGGTCGAAGTACTGAAAACCGATGGTATACCTAGTTAAACATTGACACTCAAAATCAGAAATTAAAAAATTAACCAAGAATGTTTTTTAAAAAATTGTGGCAAAAAGAACTCAAGAGTAGTATTTGACTACGACCATTTTGGACTATATTTGAAGAACACAAAACAATTTCTAAAAAATTTAAAATTTTCGACCCATTTAAATTGCATAAAATATATGGTACATCTAATTGTATCATGCTCATCCTACATCTCATGGAATTAGAAAAGTATATGGATTTACTATTAATTGAATAAATATGAATTTTTATTTTGAGAATGTAGAATACGTATTACCTAATCTTATTTTAAAACTTGGAAATTGATGTTTAATTAGTTTGCATGTATTGAAGTGTGCACATTTTGTGCACAATTTCCCACAATCAATCACATGTGTTTCAAAACCAGCTTAATAATGGGAACACAAATACTCTAAAAACATGTAAATCACTCACTACAATAGGTAATATATGTATGCATTTGTTAGCGTACATCAGTTTCTGAGATAGCTTATGTAATTTGCACAAAAATGTATGTGAGCACATACATTAATGTCTCCTAGATGCATTTCTGTTCGGTGATAAGGGGAGTATAGATAGGGAGTATATTTAGGTAATTTGAGTTTGCATCTTATTTTACCATTCAAATTAGATTTTGCACTCTGTTTTTTAAAATTCTTCGAATTTGCACCAAACCTCGTATTAAAAAACAAAAATGTCTCTTCATTAACATACCTTTAACATATTCCTAATTGAAAGACATTTTTTTATGATCCATGCGTCCGTGTTTGCGCTCCCATAATCCTGGAGTCTATGAACTACCCTCCAAATCCCCTACACAGTTAAATCCGGATCTGATCACAGGTAGCCTTCGTCGGTACTGGTTCCACAGGACGAATCCAGCAGGACAACCTGTTAACTGAATCCAGCAGGGGCCTCCCACCATGCAGACCCGGTAGGCCTAAATTTCAGGACGAATCCAGTAAGACGACCTGAATCCAGCAAAGGTCCTCCCACCACACGAACTCGGTAGACCTGTATTTTCACCCCCTCTTTTTAGCGGATGTTCAACTCCGTGAAGGTAGACCTATATTTTCACCCCCTCTCTTCTTAACCTGAGACCTCCAGTAGGCATGATAACCCTCTATTTGTGGTTAGGGACATTTTTTCTTCTAACACGAGGTCGACGTGCAAACACAAAATTTTTAAATGCACCGAGCAAAGTCCAATTTTGAACATTTGGAGTACAAATTCAAATTACCCCTACCTTTAAACAAAAATTGTTTATGTACAATAAAGAATGTTTAACACGTTGAGTTTTACTCGTAATTAGAGCAATTACTGAAAAATTGGTATATGCCGTCCCCAAAAGAAAAAAACTTAGCAATCATGAAGCGTCCTCTGCACCAGCACTCCCAAAAAGCCATTTTCGCCATCAAAATCTTCCATCCTTTAAATTTACCTCTGATCTGTTATTGCTCAGCTTCAGCTTCTTTTATTCACCATTCCTTCTTTTCTTCAACGCCAGAGCATAATTATGACTAACACTTCCAATGACTCTTCTTCTTCCTTTGCTTTTTTCTGCATTTCAAATTTCTCTGCATTCTTCATATTATGTACCGCCATTAATGCTAACTCTGTCCCAAATCGTCCGATTGAGTTAATATCACTTTTGTCATTGAAATTGTCGTTTCAAGACCCTTTAAACACCTTCAGTGATTGGGACTATCCATCCTCTGCATTTTCAGGGCCTGTTTGGTGCTCCTGGTCGAGAATAGAATGTAACAACAGCACCGGCGTTATCACCGGCGTTGATCTTTCCGGCAGAGGTCTCTCCGGCAGTCTTCCTGATGATATCCGGAACTTGGTGTACCTCCGTCACCTGAATTTGAGTTCTAATATTCTGGGCGGTTCTTTGCCGCCAGTGCTTTTCCAGTTCCCGGATCTCCAGACACTGGACATTAGTCACAACAACTTTAGCTTCACATTTCCCCCCGGAATTTCAAGACTCCGGTCACTGACTCACTTTGACGCTTTCAGTAACAACTTCACCGGTCCTTTGCCGGAAGACATGGCCGAACTCCGGAACCTGGAGCACCTCAACCTCGGCGGCAGCTACTTCGACGGGGAAATCCCAGCGAGTTATGGGAATTTACTGAACCTGAAGTTCCTATACCTCGCCGGGAACTTACTCACGGGTCCAATCCCGCCGGAGCTTGGTTTCTTGAACAAACTCGAACATTTCCAGCTCGGTTCCAATCAGTACACCGCCGGGATCCCACCGGAATTCGGGTCATTGTCTAATTTGGTTTATCTGGATATCCAATCTGCGAACCTCTCCGGTCCCCTTCCACCGGAGTTAGGGAACCTGAAAAGGCTCGAATTTCTCATTGTTTACAACAACAGTTTTACGGGTCCAATTCCGTGGGAATTCGGGAATCTGACGTCCTTAACAGAGCTCGACTTGTCGGATAATTTCATCTCCGGCGTCCTCCCGAGCTCGCTGTCGTCTCTGCATAATCTCCGGTTGTTATCGTTGATGTATAATAACTTGACGGGGGAGATTCCTGAGGGTTTTGGTGAGCTCCCCGAGCTTGAAATACTGAGTCTGTGGTCGAACTCTTTATCTGGGACTTTACCCCAAAGATTGGGCTCAAATGCTAAGCTCCAGAAGCTTGACGTCTCTACCAATTCTCTGTCCGGTCCAATTCCTCCTCATCTTTGTCACGGTAACTTCCATTAATTGATTTCATCAATAGAAATAAATCAATAATATTTTCTTGTTGTACTACGTATTTCCTCCGTCCCTCGATGAACTTCTCACTTTCATTTTTTGGATGTCCCAAAAATAAGTTCTCATTTCCTTAAATGGTAAGTTAATCTACATCAAAACAATATCAAAAAGTACAAAACAGTGTCAAATAGTGCAAAACAGTTCAAAACAGTGTCAAACAATGTCAAAACAGTAAAATTTACCCCATGGTAAGTTTATTTCCTTAATATGTGTAGATCAAACTGTGAAGTTCATTGTGTGACGGGGGGAGTATTTGATTAAGAAAAACCCCAAACAAAAAAACAGTGTTTCAGTTTTTGGGTTTAATGGTCATATATAGCATTATAGCCTGAATAAATAGAAGAAGATAAACTAAATAATATTTCCTCACTCTCAATTTGTAAGATATGTTTTCTATTTACTTGGTTAACACAAATCATTCTTAATCTCTTAAACTAAAAGTATTTTGAATACGGACAAAGATCTGTTTGCTCTATCGTTAGTCAAATATCGTAAACCGTAAAGTATCTTACAAAGAGGAAGGACGCGAGACTAACTTAATACTCCTTTTCTCTCTCTAGAATTTTCATCTATCCTTCTTCATCAGTTGCATTAAGTTTATCAAATTTATCGCATATAACACCATATTGTATTATACAAGTATGATATTTGTGTGTGATAATTCATCCTTAATTTACACTTTCAATTCAATACCAATGACAAAATTCTATTTTCTTAAAAATTGCACCATTTTCTTGTCAAATTTTTAAGAGGATGGAGATACTCCCTCCGTCCCTTAAAATTTTGCCAAATTTGACCACCACGGGGATTAATAAAGTAAAAATTGTGTGGTTGAGGTTTGTGCAGAGGAGAGAGAATTAATTGGAACCATAAATTCTTTACTTAAAATGGAAAATGACAAAGTTAGTGGGACATCCAAAAAAAGAAAGTTGTCAAAGTTTTAAGGGATAGTAGTATTTTTCTAAATAGGATAACACTTTTGTTTTTAAATAGGCATCATATTTAACATCTTGAAATAGTTTGCTTATCCATTCTATTGTAATCGTAACTTGTAAATATGAATCAATTAAAATATTACGACCAAAAGTTCAATTAAAATATCACAACCAACCAATTGCAATATAATTATGTTATCCTAACATTCACTTATTTTCCTCCTTTTCGGTCATTTGTTATGTATAAAGATATGTGACGTAATTTTAATTACATTTATTTGGTATTGTGTATACATCCAAATATCACCTTTTTATCGAAACAGTTCTTTAATTTATATGATTATGAATTATGATAACACATACTCCCTCTTGTTTTTATTAATCTTCACACTTTCCTTTTGAAGACGGTCTAAATTAAACTTTACACTTCCAAATTAGAAAAGTTTTTAATACGAAATACCCTTTATATCCCTACCCCATTTACCCATTTGTTCGGCCCACACTCCATTTATTCGCAGCTCCATTTACTCTCTCGAATCTTCTCTCTTTAATCACCTCTCTTCTCTCTCTGTCTTCAACCCCTCCACCGCCTCGTAACCTCCATCGCCATCCCTCATTCTCATCACTTCCATCATCAACCCTCCATCTCCTCACTTCCATCGCCACCCCTTACTTCTCCTCACTTCCATCGCCACCCCTTCCTTCTCCTCTCTTCTATGGATTCGAAAGGATCACCTCCTGAAAACCCTAAGGCGGCTGAGCTTCCCAAACCCACACACGCTGCAGAGATTGGACTCTCAAAATCTGAGATTGAGTCGTGTGTAAATCCAGAAGCTGAGATTGCACCGCCACTTCAATGGTATGAAAATAGATACCACGACTCAGATCCCTTCAGACTATTCATAGTAAATATTCCCTTCCTTTTTGCTGAACGTAAAAACCCTCTCTTTGGTACAGAAGGTACTTGTTGTACTGTAGCAGTCTGCAAAGTATGCAGGTTGTCCTTATCTTTCTATTTAAACGAGCTCTTTTTCTTTTACTGTGAACATGGGGGTAACTTCCTTTTGGGGGGTATAAATGGAAAGTTAACACAAATTATTTTACTTCCTTAAATGTTGAAAAGTCAAACTATGAAGATTAATAAAAACCGGAGGGAGTATATGTATACAATTATACAAGTAATAATATACAGAGTAATAGTATAGCAGACATAACAGATATTGTTCGATATAAGACCAAAACGTACACTTTAAAACTAAGAATAAGTATGGAGTATGTTTTATTTCTAAAATAGACCTAGTGGTCATTTGGCAGCACTTTTTTTCAGTTTATCAGGCTTATCAGCCAACTTTTTCACCAAACATGTTACTTTTACTTTCACGCGCTGAATTGTGTAATAAGCAGAAAAAGTAAGGTTGAAGTTACTATTGTGGCTGTATTGGTTGAAGTTACTGTAGATGATCATTTTAGCTATTTTTACACACTACCTCCGTCCCTTAAAACTTTGCCAAAGTTGACCGGAACGGAGAATAATAAAGTAAAAACTGTGTGGTTGAGGTTTGTGCAGAGGAGAGAAAAATAACAGAAACCACAAAATAATTGATTAAAAGGGAAATTGACAAAGTTTTTTGGGACGTCCCAAAAAGGAAAGATGACAAAGTTTTAAGGGACAGAGGGAGTATATTTTTTTCTTTATTTTAGTAATAAAATATATTTTGAATTTTTTTTCTTAAATCAGCAGAATCAGACAATACAACCACTTCAGACAGAATTTCATAAATTTCGGCGGGATCAACCAAATCAGCTGATTTTTGTCATACCAAACGGGCTCTTATTTAATCATATTAAAAGATTAGCTTGATTCAAACTTCCTATTTTGAGAATAAAACATTGATGATCCTGTTTAAGAATTTTATCTGTGTTTTGTTCACGCAAACAAAAAAATAATTTTATCTGTGTTTTAGTCTGAATTTTCTCGGTGCTTAACATATACAGGTAATAGGCTGGGGAAATTGATCCTATTCAACAACAACTTCACAGGAGAGTTGCCGGCGTCGCTTGCAAATTGTTCAACGTTATATCGGATCAGAATTCAAAACAACAATCTGAATGGCTCAATTCCACCCGGTTTGGGCCTCTTAAGAAATTTGACTTTGATGGATATCAGCCAGAACAGCTTCACCGGTCCAATTCCACCAGAATTCGGTAACGCCGCCGGGAACCTTGTAAGTTTGAACATGTCCCACAATTCGTTCCGAGGTGAATTGCCAGACAACATTTGGGATTCCCCCAGTCTTCAGATCTTCTCTGTTAGCTATAATAATCTCTCCGGCAACATTCCCGACTTCACGGGGTGTAAAATGTTGTCCAACATTGAGCTCCAAGGAAACAACCTATCCGGCAGCATCCCATGGAACATTGAGCATTGTGAGAAGCTTATCATGTTGAATTTACACCGGAATTCTCTCTCCGGGATTATCCCGTGGGAGATTTCCGCTCTCCCTTCCATTTCCGATGTCGATTTGTCTTATAACTTCCTCTCCGGCACAATTCCCTCCGATTTCGGAAATTGTACGACCCTCGAGAGCTTCAATGTCTCTTACAATCGGCTCGTAGGCCCCATACCGTCTATCGGCTCGGTATTCTCAACTCTCCACCCGTCCTCGTTTACCGGAAATGAGGGTTTATGTGGTGTGGCGGTCCATAAACCCTGCGAGACTAGGGGACCTAGCGCGGGTGTCGCGGGGCAGAAAACCCAACCGAAGAAGAAGGCGGGACCCATTGTGTGGATCGCGGCCGCAGTGTTCGGAACATGCTTGGTTGTGCTTGTTGTTAGTACACGGTGGTTGAACCCGCAGTACACTTTGAAGTTCTCAGGTGAGAGAGACATCGGCCCGTGGAAGTTAACGGCATTCCAACGTTTGAATTTTACCGCCAATGATGTCTTGGAATGCGTGACAATGAGCGACAAGGTTATTGGAATGGGGTCCATGGGGACCGTGTACAAGGCCGAGATGCCAAGTGGTGAGATCATAGCGGTGAAGAAGTTGTGGGGTAAGCAAAAGGAAACCGTCAAGAAGCGGCGTGGTGGGGTGTTGGCCGAGGTAGATGTTTTAGGTACGGTGAGACATCGGAACATTGTTCGATTACTAGGGTGTTGCAGAAATGGGGAGTGTACAATGTTGTTATACGAATACATGCCTAATGGAAGCCTTCATGATTTACTTCACTCCAAAACTAAGGTATCAATTTAAACTCGATATGTCTCTTGAAGTATTTTACATTAATAAAATACGAATATATACTACGTATTAAATTAGTATAGCGTATATAAGATCTTGAGTCACGACTCGTATCAACTATGCTTTTAAGATCGTACCAGAGTGTCAATTCAATCCTATCGCACGAATGATGAAACTTCAAGTCTTAATAATAGTTGTCCTCTTAAATCATTATAAATATATTCAAACTTACTTTTTTTCATGTTATTTTTTTGTAAACTTTTAAAACGAAATTAGAAGAGTATCAAATACTTGATCCACCAAGTTTTTTTGGTCCCTTCATTTATAAAGTTAATGTTTGTGTGCAAAATATATAGGTAACGGATTTGGGAGTGGATTGGATGTTAAGGTACAAGATTGCCCTCGGGGTGGCTCAAGGAATTTGTTATTTGCACCATGACTGTAATCCGATCATAGTACATAGAGATTTAAAGCCGAGCAATATTCTTCTGGATGGTGAAATGGAAGCTAGGGTTGCTGATTTTGGTGTCGCAAAGCTAATCCAAAGTGACGAATCTATGTCAGTTATTGCTGGTTCTTATGGTTACATTGCCCCAGGTATATATAATTATCACTCACTTATTATCAAATTTATCATATTAGTAGAATGATTTTAATGTCTCTTGTTTTGAAATTTTGGGTATTCAATAAATGGACTTATAAAAATTAACAGAAAGCTAGCTAATTAAATTGTTGGTGATAAAATATAATATTTATTGATTAATTAACTCGTGAAAAATAAATGGTTCAAAATACATTATACGGAGTATAATTAAATTAATTAATAACATAAAAGTGCTTGGTTCCTTAAGAACCATAATAAGTGGTTGTAATTTAATAAGATATTAATTTGTTTCGTATGAAAACTAGCTACATGTCTTGTCCTTACGTTTGAAAGTATATTTTCATTATAAACAAAACCGTCAAAACGTACTCTTATTTTAATCATCAGATAGAGGTTATATACACTCCGTATCTTATTAGGACATCTCCATTGGTAGGATTATTAAGAGATTAAGTAAGTGGCGTGACAGATTTTTTAAAGGAGCACCATTGAGAGGCATAATTTATTTAATGAGATTATTTGCTATAATAATCCGGGATCAAAATATGAATCCAGATTATTTTAAGATTATGTAAAAAGTATATGTAATAGAAGTTAATGCAAGAACAAAAAAAATCGGATTATTTGAAAATGGTGATTGGGATACATAAACGAATATTGAGATTATTTGAACATTAATTATATAACAGTATTTAAAAGGTAAGAATCATAGAAAAAATTGATTATTAGAGATAATGAATGGAGATGCTGTAAGGCGCTTCAAATCATTACCAGTAGTTATTAACTTATTATAAATTCTTATAGAGATTTCCTTAAGTCAATTTAGTGCATGCACCACCGTCCATAGCGAAATATATTGGCCAGGAGTAATATTTTGTCATTAAGTCACTGTCACTTTAATTAATTATTATATCCCCTCCCTCATCATGTCAATATATATACTCCCTTTATGATATTGCCTGTTTTGATTTGATCTGCTCATGATATCCATTGTATAAATGTATGAATAATGTATTATTACTTTCATGTACGTGTCTTACTTTGATTTGACATAATTATTAATTAGGTGATTGTAAAAATAAAAATTATTGTTGAAATTTGAGAATAGAGTGAATGTTGTAGATATTTATTTCCAAAAAGAACGTAACATTTATTTTGAGATAATCCAAAAAAGTAAGACATGTAAAATTGAACGGAAGAAGTATAATTTAATTTCGGTCAGAATGGATCAGATACACATATGGAATATGTAGTTCCGACCTGTACTGATGACTTAGCAACGTAACTTATTGTCAGCCCCAATTCATACACATCTAAAACACCAGTATATTGAGTTAAAAAAAGAAATAATTATGAAATCATACACAGTCATACTTTGAATGGTTAAGTACTAGTATTAAACTATTAATATAACATTATTACGTCATAATTTTCTGTATTATTCAAGGACAACACTAATTAATCTTATTACTCCGGAATATGAAAGAATCTCAGCAGCATAATTTGTTAAACAAAAGCTTCACAAAAACTCAAAAAACAGAATTAGGAGTATTGTAGAATATATAATTGATTTTGCATGCGAAAAAAAGAGCTCACATTTTCAGGCGTGATGTGGTGTCATGTCGCTAATAATTATCGGTCTTTTTAATACTGTGCTAAAGTTTCTCTATTTATTCTTCACTTTTTTGCACTGCCCAATCCTTTTTGCCGTGATTTACATCGACTCAAGCTCAACAGCGTGTAATGTGCATTATTCCAATACTCTAATTTACTTGTATAATCATTCTCCGTATTGTACTGAGTATGTTTTATTAGTCCTTTTGTGTTTCAAGAATATTTTTGAAATTGACTTTTCTTAATAATAGTCAACTTTGACCAATAATACTACTCCGTTCCTTTATTATTGTCTCATTTCGATATACGATGTTTTATCGAGAATGAAGCAAACAGATCTATTCACACTCAAATTATTTTTAGGGAAAAATTGCATATTCAGGAATTATATTAAAAATTTTACAAACTCGCAAAATCAGAATCAAATTTGATACATAAAGTAGGAGATTAAGAGTGATTGTGTTGACCAAGTGAATAGAAATTGGGACAATAAAAGGGGCACAAAGTACTTATTGATGTAAAATTATTTAGAATATGAAAATTATATTAAAATGTTCATTATTAAAAGAATTTTTATAAAGCTATACAATTTATAAATTATATACAAATGTAATAATTAAAAGCATTTTTTTAATTTTATCATTATTGATTAATTTGAGCCCATTATTTACTAATTTAAATTGCTACTGTCATGGTTGAATTTGTTGTATTTTAAATATATATTAAATAATTTGAGCCCATAATAAATTTTATACATTAAATATATAAAAAATAATATGAAATAAGTTATTCATTTTTTTCATCAATGCCGACCACTTCAATTAGAAAAATGTATTCCCAAAATCGGCTTGAAATAAAAAAAAATACTACGTATTAAAAATGATTTGAAGGGTGACAATTACATGGGCGGATCTTAGGGTGGATAACTTTAGGCTGTGACCCGCTCCAAGTTTCAAAAAACACCTTTATTTTTAGGGTAAAAGGTTTTGTGTAATTTTTTTTAAAGAAACTATGTTTTGAACCGGCTCAATCCATGACACTTTGTCCTGTCCTGGCTCTAGCTCCCCCGGTGACAAACTAAAAATGGGCACACTCTTAATAGAAATTAGTTCAAATAGGACTAAAACTATGGCAAAAACCTAAAATAGGACTTGCTATGTTTTTATTCCAAAATAGGACCATATGAGTCTTATTGGAAACATACCTATTTTTGCATTCCATTCTTACCCTTCCATTAAATATGAATTAAAAATAGTCAAAAGCCATAATTAAATATTTAATTCATAATAAATTCGAAAAAAATTCAAAAATTCGTAGAAATATAAGTAAAAAATTTATAAAAATTTTATAAAATAAAAATTCATTTTTTTAAATAATTTTATTTTAAAAAAAATTAATAAAAAATAGTAAAACTCCGTAAAAAAAAATTAAAAAAATATGGATGCCTTTCTCACCGCCTGTACTACCTCCCAGCACCACCACCTCCGGCCGATGAAAAAAATGCCATTTTCCCAGAAAAATGCCATTTTTTTCTGAAAATACCAAAAAAGTGGCATATTTCTCTTTTCGAATGCCAACATTTTCATTTTTTTTTTGCCATAAATATGGCATTCGTAATGAACTTGGCATTTTTTCCCCTGGTGACTGGAGGTGGTGGTGCTGAGGCGGCTGAGGCGGCGGCGATTTTTTTTTGAGTTTTTATTTTTTTTTAATTTTTTTTTAATTTTTTTAATTTTTTTAATTTTTTTGAAAAAAAAAATTAATTAAATTTTTAATATCGAAATGTTTTTCTTAATTTTTTAGTATTTTTTACGAATTTTTATTATTTTCTATTATTTTATTAGGAATTAAAACATTTTAATAGCTATAAGGGTATAATTGTCCAAGGTACACATAATTAGTCTTATGCAAACATAGTTTATTTTTTGGTCCTATTTGCGAAAAGTGAATGACTTTTAGTCCTATTTTGATAATTAACTCCACTCTTAATTACTCATTTGCAAATTTGACTAAATTCTCTCTAAAGAAGTCTGTGGCGGTTCATGTTTTATAACTCATTTACCGAGTTTGCTGTAATTTTTAGCCCTTACTAGGAGTAAATAAGCCCAAAATTCAACAATAGAAGTACAATCATTTTATTCCTTAAATAGGACTAATATATATTTCTTCTTCCCATTCTACCCCTTCCTATAATTTCCAATAGATTTATTCTATTAATAAGGAAATCATAGTTTTATTTTATAATAAAAACATAAAAAAATAATAAAATATATATAAATAATAATAATGAAAACTTGAAAAAAAAAATTAAAATAACAAATAAATTATTTAAAAGTTTTTTAAAAAGTCCAAAAAATAAAATAAAATACCTAAAAAATATTTAAAAATTATGTGGGTCACTGCCAACGCGTCCTCTACCTCCCTGCACCACTGACTCTGGTCGCCGAAAAAAATGTCATCTTGTGTAAAAAATGCCACATTTATCTGAAAATGTCATAAACATTACATTTTTACTCTTTGAAAATATCCAACTTTCTCTTGCTTTCTCTTCAAAATTGTCATCATGATAACATTTTGTACCCAATTTGGCAATCTTTTCCGGCGACCGAAGGTGGCGGTGCTGGAAGGTGGCTGAGGTGCAGGTGGTTGAGGTCTATATATTTTATAATTATTTTTACGAATTTTATTTTTTAATTTTGATTTTTTTTATATTTATAATGATTGTTTAAAAATCTCATTATCAAGGACAAAGGAAAGGGTAGAATAGGAAGAGTTAGTAATATTTTGGTAATTTAAACTTTAAACTCTTATTGTTGTAATTGTCTCTTTATTTACTCCTATTTAAGTAAATCTCCCTGATTTTTTCTCACATGAACTCAAATAGCCAGTTCATGTGATTTAAATAAACTTCTTTACGTAAAAAATCTTTGAGTTAATTATCAAAATAGGACTAAAAGTCATTCACTTTTCACAAATAGGACCAAAAAATAAACTATGTTTGCATAGGACTAATTATGTGTACCTTGGACAATTATACCCTTATAGCTATTAAAATGTTTTAATTCCTAATAAAATAATAAAAAATAATAATAATTCGTAAAAAATACTAAAAAATTAAGAAAAACATTTCGATATTAAAAATTTAATTAATTTTTTTTTTCAAAAAATTAAAAAAATTAAAAAAAAATTAAAAAAAAATAAAAACTCAAAAAAAAAATCGTCGCCGCCTTTGCCGCCTCAGCACCACCACCTCCAGTCAACAGGGAAAAAAATGCCAAGTTCATTACGAATGCCATATTTATGGCAGAAAAAATGAAAATGTTGGCATTCGAAAAGAGAAATATGCCACTTTTTTGGCATTTTCAGAAAAAAATGGCATTTTTCTGGGAAAATGGCATTTTTTTCATCGGCCGGAGGTGGTGGTGCTGGGAGGTAGTACAGGCGGTGGGAAAGGCATCCATATTTTTTTAAATTTTTTTTACGGAGTTTTACTATTTTTTATGAATTTTTTTAAAAATAAAATTATTTTTTTAAAAAAAGGTTTTTGAATTTTTTAATTTATAAAAATTTTATAAATTTTTTAATTATATTTCTACGAATTTTTGAATTTTTTCCGAATTTATTATGAATTAAACATTTAATTATGGCTTTTGACTATTTTTAATTCATATTTAATGGAAGGGTAAGAATGAAATGCAAAAATAGGTATGTTTCCAATAGGACTCATATGGTCCTATTTTGGAATAAAAACATAGCAAGTCCTATTTTAGGTTTTTGCCATAGTTTTAGTCCTATTTGAACTAATTTCTAAAAATCTTTCGGTTTTACATCAAAATGTATAATTGGCGCTGAGATTCAATTTTTCAGCGGTTCCTACAATTGTTTTTGACATAATCGCATCGGATCAATTAATAATGCAATAATATTTATGTGAATAAAGTTATAGAATTACTAACAATTAAATCAAGAAACTTTTTTTTTAATGTTGATGATAATAACTTCACTTACTTTATTCGCTTTATCGACTACAGCGACCCTACCAATATTATGAAAAGTGGAGAGGATCAATATGTAATTATTAATAACCCCTGCGAGGCTTCGAAGTTTTATACTCCGTAGTGCTTAATTGACTTCAAGTTTAAAGTCAAAAATCTTGTCGCCAGAAACCAAATCGCAATGCTCTCCTGCTAAAGCCATGCTTTTTTCAATTAACTAACTAAACACTTACCATTTGAATAATATGCAGTATTAATCGTTCATTATCAATTATTACTATATTAATAAGCGCTTCGGTCTCAGACCGGAACAAAGTTAAACAGATCAAACAAGACTAGATTAGACTTAAACAGATCAGACCATATCATAATTATAAAATACACAAAGACCAGACATTTACGGCACCAGATCAATTCAGCCCTAGAGAAACGTGAATAAAGAATTTATGTACGACTATTGTGGTTGCAGAATATGGTTACACATTGCAAGTTGATGAGAAGAGTGACATTTACAGCTACGGAGTAGTGTTGATGGAAGTAATTACGGGTAAAAGATCAGTGGAAGCGGAATTTGGAGAAGGTAATAGTGTGGTGGATTGGGTTAGATCGAAGCTGAATAAGGGCAAAGATGGAATCAACGAGGTGCTGGATAAAAGAATGGGTGGATGTTCTTGCCCTTTGGTGAAAGAAGAAATGATGTTATTGCTTAGGGTTGCTTTGTTGTGCACTTCTCGTAATCCGGCGGACCGTCCCTCCATGAGGGATGTTGTGTCCATGTTACAAGCTGCCAAGCCTAAAAAACTCTTGAGTGCTAAATAATATAATTACTTTTGCTTGAAATTTTTATTTTTTCCTTCTCATTTACCTACTTAATTTTGTAAAACTTTTTTATACCACACATAAAAAATTGACTTTTTTTGGTCAATGACAATCAACTTTGACCAATGATATATTTTAATACGAAATTATTTAGAATATGAAAATTCTATCAAAATATTCCTAATTGAAAATACTTTCATAAAAGTATAAAATTTATAAATTATACACAAATATAATAAATAAAATCATTGCTCAAAGTTTGTCATCATTGACCGAGAAAAGTCAATTTGGCAAACCTTTTCGGGACGGATGTAGTACTATACTATTTCAGAGAAAATTAGTGGAAGTGCATTTGAGAAAAGAGGTTACTTCATTTGTTCACTTGTTAAAATATAGAGGTAGTTAGAAGTGGATCGAGGCAGGTTCAACATCAAAACTTATTATTGATTTTATTGAATATTTGTATGGTCGAAAAAAGGAGGAGATGCAAATTTGAGGAAGTACAATATACAAAGCATATGAATTGAGCATTTGAGCGGCTAAAGTTAAACTTCACATCTTTAAACCTCTTTTATTACAAGGAGTCTTTATTTTGTCATGTTTAATTGGCATGTTTTATCACATTCTTACTCTGTTAGATTATTGATTTACTTAGTTATTATATTAATCACATTCTTGCCATCACTCCGCATAGTGCACTGCTTTTGAAGAGATTCATCAACAACGCTTTGCATTCCTTCAAATGCATACCTCAAAAAAGGGTTCATCCTCCTTTTTTAAATACAAGTTTTTCCATGTATCGCATACTAGTACGTTTCGAATAGATTTTATGCAACAAAAAAATCATTTAATTCAAAATAGCTATTCATATAAAACTACGCATTCACTAAATTAATACTCCTTGCTACATATTTCTACCCTAAATGCACCAAGTGCACAAATGTGAAAACTAGCTTTATACACTAAAGTTTCATTAACGCTTTCATAGTTATGAAATAATAATAGTAATAATAATAATAATACTATTATTATCATTATCGTAGTGTGTGAGGTCATCTTCACTACTTGGCCTTTGCTGCGGTAGTCCTCTGGACGGTGGAGACACCATCAACGAATTTTGTCCGGAAGAGCACGTTGGCATTGTTAAACATCCCTTCTTTCAGTGACACCACAATGAACTGCACAATGACACCACATGAAACTTAATCCTCCAGAGGAAATAAGGACCATACTCAAATCATAAAGGTTCATTCTCCTAAACCCAAAATACAAAATAAATTTGCTTTTCCAGAACCGAGTAAAACATTATTTTAACCAAAAAAACCTGGGAATGTGGAAAGTGACTCTTGATCATCCTGCCAATGTTCTGGGTATGACTAAGATCAAGAGCAGCATCAACCTGCACAAACAAGTGTAAGAGAGTTAAAGATACATGTGACTATGTGAGATAACCTGATATTCTTGGTTAAGGGCTTGGAGATGTGATGAAGATCCCTTTATTTGGGAAACTATAAGTCGTCAGTCATCACATAACTTCAGATACAACATGAACCCTTACATGACAGTATTATCATACTGCCTCTGTTTTCTATTAATTGCTCCGTATCTCATTAGAAAAAAATTATTAGCGCTTGCTCTATTTTCAAATTATCATTTCTTTACCTTACTATGTCATCTTTTCTTTCTTTTAAAATTTATCATCTTTTTAATACTTTTTCTATTTCTTCTCCTGCTTTTTTATATTACATATTTCTAACCTGCTCTTTTACTCTCAAACTAACATCCGAACACACCGTTAGTTTTAAAAAAGCAATGGCTTTCGTCTTTCGATGGTGGGGTGCAGAAAAGAAAGATATATACCTCATCGAGTATGTAGAGTGGAGCAGGTTTGAAAAGAAGCAAAGCGAGTATGAGAGATAGGGCAAGTAGAGATCTCTGACCACCACTTAGCTCTGATAATGATTGTTTCCAAACACTTCCAAACGCTACACGAACCTCGAGACCATCTAAGAAGCTTCCACCTTCAGGAGGATTCAGCTTTGCGTTTGTTCCAGGCAAGAGTGTGGAAAATATTGAACCAAAGTCACTGGAAATAGTAAAGTTCTTAGAATTTGGTTTAGGGGACTTTTGAAACTCAGATAAAACTAGAGAATGAAAAAGATAGAAGTTATTTAGAAAATTTTATATAATAGTTCAAACCTATTTCATTTAAATATGTTTCTGTTATAGACAGAGAGAATCTGAAAAGTATAAAAAACTTAACAGGTTAAATCACTATAATTTTCAGTCTCCCAACCATACCTTTAGGGAATTACAGACTATAAACTAGTTTCACAATAATAACAAATGTGGGTCGCGATGAAAACATACTCTTCCTACCTGTTAACTTTTTCCCAAGTAATTTTAAGTGTTTCTTTCTTTTTCTCATCAAGTTCTTCAATCACCTTCTTGATTTTTGCTTTGTCCTTCTACAAGAAGATATCAGTTAAACCAAAAAAAGACAATGCAACCAACTCATACATTACGCTAATAATTCACAAATCCAACCTCTATGATGTTTTTTTTAGCTATTAAATCATTGTATTCCTCTTCAGCCTTTTCAAACATCGCCATGACCTTCTTATTCACTCTTTTCTCAAGGCTGTAACAACAAATATTGATATATAAATAAGCCATGGATAAATATTCAAGTCAAAGCTGAAATATGTACAATTAAATATGTAGTACTCCGTATATTTTAGAGAAGCAATAACATTACCCTGATTGTTCAGCTTGTAGCTTTTCAAATTCATCTTTGGTTTTTCGGGGATTACATGATGAAAAATCGTAATCAGTTCCACTTTTCCCAAAAAGTTGTTTCTCGGATGTAATCCATGCATTCTTTTCAAGCAATTTCTCCACTTTAAGGGAACAATCTTTTTGATCCATCTCCATGTGTTTTACCTGAAAATGGAATGCACATTAAATCTATTTTCCATCCACGCAACTCATTAAGAACAACAAAATATTACAAAAAATAAACCTCATTTTCCAATCTCTTCTTCTCAAGAACAATCTCACTAAGTTTATGTTGAAGTCCCTGCTGTTCCTTGAGGATGCTTGAAATTTGAGAGTCACATTCCTTTATCTTCAAGCGTGCTGCATTAAGTTCTTTTTTGGCCAAGTCGTGGTCATCTTTTACAGACACAACCTGCATCAGGAAGTTATAATTTAGTTTAGATATTCTACATAGAAGGGAAAGAGGAGTGGAAAAAATAGTTACAAAAGCAATTCATATTTTTGTTTTCTCCAAATTGGAGGGTTTGGGATGAGAGAAAAATAAACATTATCTTCCACTTAAATCCTATCAAGATAAAACAGTAAAAAATAGAATTTCCCAGCCTCATTTTCATATCTATCCATATTTTCTTCCCAACCAAACAGGGTGGGATCTAAGGAACAAAAAGAATCAGCATTTCTATGCAATTACAATTTAACAAGATAATATACTTTTAGATGGCAGAGGGATATCACCTTTTTCTTCTGAGAATCAACTCCTACTGTAAGGTCAGAGATCTGCTTCTTCAGAGCAACTAACTGACTCTCTAATGCAGCATATTCCTGTTTCACAGCTTCAACCTCCATTATGAGCCTTTCCCTTTCATTCTCATGCCCCTGATAGAAACATAAAATAATTTAATTGCAAATCTAATGATTTCTCATCATATCCATATCACTTAGTTAGCTACCAACACAAGAGGAATGCAACGAAGCAGAGACTGTCAACAACCTAAGGCAACAATATAACCACATTGATTGAACATGCAAAAGGACAACTGTAACTGCTTTCAAAATTTTAGTTTTGAAAAAATGCAGGTCACTGAAGATCCTTCAGAAATTCATAACTGTCAATAATGAAAACTACCTTTAGGTTCTTTAATAGTGATTGAGTCTGACTCTTTATTGTCTTAATCTTCTTTTCTAAATCTTTAAGCTTGTCCTCTCTACTACCAGCATGGTCACGAATTGACTTCTGAAGCGATGACACTTTATCTATGCAGCTTGAATACTGGAGCTCCTTCGCTTTCACAGCTAACTTTGCTTCCTCTAGTTCCTGCTCAATCTTCTTCACTATTTCTCCTAACTGTATTTAAAAAAAGTAGGAATGCAATGAATACAATGAGTATGACTAAGAGTTACAGAAAACAAAAATATGTTAGCCATATAGTTAAAAGATAAAACTATAATTCATAGAACTTCATATATGCACACCTAAGAGGTACACTTGTACAACCTTATGATGTTCATTCTGCTCAGCTCTATTCTGAAATAATGAAAGATCGTATGACTTCAGTTCGAATTGTGCCTTAAGTTCTTTGAACATTTTCTGAAGAGGTCGAAGCCCATTGATCTAAATGCCCAAAATAGGAAGAAAACAAAAAAGAATAAGAAGTCAAGCCCCTGGATAGAAACAACATTGAGTGGTTACATTACTCAAACAGCTATGCATCGAAAGAAAAGTTGGCCATTGCACAGTACAGATGAAAGAACTTGGGTCATAATTTTTTTAACTATAAAAGACTTTGAAGTTAGGACATATCATTTTAAGACCTACAACAATCTATTCAAATATAAAATTAAATGCATTTAAGGAAAATAACAACCCTAGTTACAAAGGATTTTGTTCATATTTCCTAGGATAAAAGAAAAACTAGCCTGAGCGTCAATTTCTGAGAGACGTTTTTGATGAAATGCAAGCTTTGATTCAGCCTCACCCATAGCATGAAGCATCCTCAACAACTCCCCGCCACCCCTGGCGCAACAACAAAAGATGTGCTTGAGAATGCTAAGGGAAACACTTCTATGAAACAAAGACAGCCTTTAAATCATACAACTTTTTCCACAAGATACAAGCACATCAAGGCATCATTTTTAGACAGTAATGGATTAAGTGGGGCTGCGGGAAGAAAATGATCACATACTTTCGGCTACCACCAGTAAGAAGCCCACTGGGCTGAAAAATATCTCCTTCTAGTGTCACGCTCGGCGATCCAACTTCCCGGTTAAAAGCAACCTAGAGAACAATGTAAG